GGCATGGTCCACCACTGCAGAACGGACATGTTGTACTCATAAGTCTCACCTACAATTCAGAAAATCCAAAAAGAGGAAGAATTGAAACTTAAGAACAAAACCGCGCTCTTTTCGTGAAGATTATGGTGTCTATGTGTCTATTATGTTAATACACCTATAAAAGTTGACTACTAGATCATTCAAAAAGTGTATATTCTTTAGCTGTCACAAAAATGGGTAAACGCATGATAAACAAGATAAAGAGAGAAAGGGAGGAGACAAGACACTTTTTCGTGAATTTTAACATTGCTTCCAGCCACACATTTCTTGTAATAAATATTCAGTAGAATCCAAATCTTTTCAAAAAAGATGTTTTTCTTCATAAGAAAACAACTGCACGAAGTAAGATCGAAAACTAAAACCTCACCGGGACGTCCGATCGAGTGACATCTTTGTTGCATACGATGTAGAGATCGTATGCGTCTCCCGTTTTCGAACCATCCACACGACGTATGTGAGAAACGAATAGAGATTCGCGGGCAGCGGCCGGCCATACCTAGATGACTCAAATGTCGATGACTGGTTTTTAAAAAGGCATTATTTGTGAATGACACAGCTCAATGACAGCTTTACGGTTCACATTGAATATCAGCACATACCGTTTTGTGTTTCTGATGAAGAACCATCGTATCGCGGCTGATTTTTTCCACGACATCCATACCATTTATAGTGTGGTCCCACTCCATTTTGTACTTTTCGTCGTAGAAATAGTGCATGTACTCGAGTGCAGTAACACCCTAAAAAAGATACATTTCAAAAGTTTAGCGCATAAATTAGCTGCTGGAGAAGTAAAATGTTTAACAATGGCAATCAGGTGTCTTTACGCGCACATTGACGCGGATATTCCAAACGCAGCCCAGGAGTGAAGGCACCGTCTACCCAAATTCTCGACTTCCATGTATTGAAGCTGTAGGCCTTCTGAAGGCCCTGATTTCAAATACGGAGTCAAGAATCCGCGAAATCTCCAAAAATCCCCGTTTTGAAGAACCCGCGGGACGGGTGCACGTCATGTCGCAGTTTGCCCTAGTGTGGAGGCCGAAACTAGTATGCCATCA